AGGGAGTGTATTGTCACATGATAAGCACTAGAGTGAACCACAAGGTCCACATTTCGAATCCACCAGCTGCTCCATGGGAGAAAGATGAGGCTTTCTGCTGCCAAGCTTTAAAACCTAAGAGTCCCTATACAGGAACCAACTGAAAGGCACTGAACAACAAGTATATTGGAAAGTTAGAATACACCTAAGTGTTGTTTCAATAAATAGGCAACCATTTAAGTGTTTAAGTATAAAAGAACAAAAACAGGTACGTATATTATAGTTGATCTGAAATCTGTAAAGAGAAGTGGATTTTTTTCAAATGGCAGGACGTATGCAAGTATGTTGCCTTTTGATTATGGGTGTTAGTGATGACCATGTTCTCTTTCTATTTCTTTGTAGGAATAGGAGGGGTAGAAAAAAATAATGCCTATCTTTTATTACCTGTGAATCTATTCAGATAATAACTATTTTTTTTTTCATTTAAAAATTTATTCTGTATATTAAAAAAATAAAGTTCAAACATTTTGGGAAGACACTAAAAGTATGAGTGAAAAATGCTTTATATGAAGTTGGACAGTGACTAAGACCATAGAAGAATCGATGCATTTGATTTATCATGTTGGAGAAGAATATTAAAAATACTATAGGCTACCAGAAAAAAAAAAACACAAATCTGTTTGGAGGAAGTACAGCCAGAATGCTCCTTAGAAGCCAGGATAGCAAGACTGTCTCTCATACTTTGGACATGTCATTCGAAGGGACCAGTCCTTGGAGGAGGATGTCATCCTAAAGTACAGCATCAGCGAGAAAGAGATGAATTAACACAATGGCAGCAGCAGTGGGTTCAAACATAACAATGATGAGGATGGTTCCGGATCCCTATTGTGAAATGCTGACATTCTGTGACTCCTAGTCATTCGGTTGCGTATAGGGGTCACTGATTTAGAACTGACTCAGTGGCACCTAATAACGAACAGGCAGAACTGGTCTATGGTGGGAGGAAAAAATCAGAGAAGTGGTTGATTTTGAAGACTGAGATGAGGATTAGTTGGCACTTGGCATGAGGAATCTTTCTGAGGTAATGGTTATGTTTGGGTTGTACTGGTGTGTATATGGTAAAAACTCAAGAATTCAAGAAATAATATTTTCAGTTTGTAGATTTGTAAGTCAATTTTACACTAAAAAAAAAAAAAAAAAAAGTGGGGGTATCTTGTTTTGTAAAAATGTAGAACATCTAAACTGCCCTTTGCACCCTGGAGAATTAGATAAATATTTCTCCAATTAACACCTTGTGCTGCCATTGTGACAGTATTTCTGTATTGCATTGGAGTTCTCTGGGTCTTCAACTGGGAGCTGAAATGTAGGTACTGTAAGCCTGCCTTATGGCTTGTGCTCAACTAATACTTAACCCTGGTTCCCACCTAAAAGAATCCTAGTGGTGCAATAGTTAAAGTGGTATGTCAGCTGCTAACCAAAAGGTCAGCAGTACAAACCCATCAGCCAGCCTCTCTACTGGAAGATATGGGACAGTCTGTTTCTGTTAAGATTATAGCCTTGAAAAACCTGTGAGGCAGTTGTAAATTTCCAGTAAGGCTGCTATGAGTCTGAATCTGCCTAATTGCAATGGGCTTGGACTTTGGTTGTTAGTCCATATGTAATAACATCACAGCTCTTAGTTCTGTTTTTGTTGTTGTTTTGTTTTGTTTACATTGCTTGATAGAATTAATACAGGTAATAAAGGTTAATCTTACCTTTGTCTTTTCAAGTTCTTTATATAAGGAGATTGCTTAAAATTATATCCAATTTTTAAAAGCAATATAGCTGAAACAACCATCACTTGATTGAACCCTATGACTTAGTTGGTGGTCAGACTGTAGATCTTTTCTTGCAGAGTATTTCAGGAAGAAATAATAAATAGACTATATTATCAATTTTGTGACTTTTATAATAGTACTGCATTTAAACACCCTACCTAGTTATTTTTATGTATGGTTTTAACCTCTCAGTAATGATAACATGTTAAATTAAACTAAATGAAGAATTATTTGAACACTGGTTAGTTAACATACAGGGGAAGGTTTTTTTAAACATGATAAAGGAATTAATTTCTTGTTGTTACTAGTTACTCTTGAGTTGACCCTGTTTACAACAGAATGAAACACTGCTTCCTCCTACACCAGCCTCACAATTGCTGTTATATTTGAGCCACTTGAGGCTGTTCCACATTTTTGCCAACTCTCTACCAAACATGAAGTCCTTCCTTCTCCAGGGACTGTCCCTCTAGATGTTCAAAGTACATGAGACAAAGGAGCATTCTGGCTGCAATTATTCCAAGATAGATTTGTGTGTTCTTTTGGCAGTTGATGGTAATTTCAGTATTTTCCTCCAACACCATAATTCAAATACATCAGTTCTCCTCCTGTCCAGCTTTTACATTCTTATGAGATGGTTGAAAATACTATGGCTTGTGTCAGGAACACTGTACTCTTCAAAGTGACATCTTTGTTCTTTAATACTTTAAAGAGGACTTTTGCAGCAGATTTGCCCAGTGAAATATGTCATTTGATTTCTCGACTGCTCCTTCCATGAGTGCAGACTGCGTTTCCAAGTAAAATAAAATCCTTAACTCTTAAGTGTGGTGAAAGGATGCGACTCAATCTTGATACTGAATTCTTCTTCATCAAGTCCAGTTTCTCTGATTATTTGTGTCACATGCAGATCACTTGTTGTTGTTGTTGTTAAGTGCCGTCAAGTCGGTTCCGACTCATAGCGACCCTGTACAGGGTTTCCGAGGGTGTAAATCTTTACGGGAGTAGAAAGCCTCATCTTTCTCCCGCGGAGCAGCTGGTAGTTTCAAACCGCTGACCTTAAGGTTCGCAGCCCGATTCGATTCGTAAGTGTGGTGAAAGGATGCAACCCAAGCAGGCACATGCCTTTCCTAATTTTAAGCCATTCAGTATCTCCTTGTTATGTTAAAACAACTGCCTCATAGACTTAAGCTCCTAGTGTTGTTAGATGCCATTGAGTTGATTCTGACTCACAGCAACCCTGTATAGCATTTCCAAGGCTATAAATGCTTACAGGAACAGAAAACCTCATTTTCCTCCCTCATTTTACAGATGAGGAAACAGAATGATTGTTCCAGGGAGATTCAAACCCAAGTTTTCTGTTATTCCAAACACAGTGTAACTTCCACATTTTACAAGCTAGATATTGAAGCTTGCTCAAGAAACATTTGTCGTACACTGACTGTATGTAGGGTCTGGGTTTGATGAATTCAGTCTCAGTTCCTGTGATGAAGTTGCTTGTAGTCTAAATGCTCTGCTGCTCAGTGTTCTTTGCATCTCCTGGCAGTGGGTTAGAAAGGCAGGCTCCCAGGCCCACATCTGGAAAAGACTCAGAATCTGCATTTAAACAAGATCCCAAACATTAATGTTCAGTCACACTTGCGGAGCACAGAAACTCCAAGTCCAGAATAGCTTGCTCAAATCAAACAGTGGAGTCTAGATAAGCATCCATTTGATCTTACTCTTAGAAAGAGTGTTTTTAGACTGAGACAAACCTTTTCTACTTCAGATAGCATGTACATTGTTGTATAGACAATATTTATCACTCTGTGTACATTCTACCAATGCTACTCACACCTAATTTTAACCGAATTGGATGTCAAATACAGTAGCAACCATACAGATGGGATCCATTTATCTTTTAACCAAAATTGACTAAGTTGGTGTTAAAGTGGGATAGGACTGATTTGTAAATTGGACCCACTGTTCTGGTAGCGTAGTGGTTACGAATCAGGCTGCTAACCTCAAGGTCGGCAGTTTGAAACTACCAGCTGTTCCGCAGGAGAAAAGTGAGGTTTTCTGCTCCCGTAAAGATTTACAACCTCGGAAACCTTGTGCAGGGTCACTCTGAATCAGAAATGACTCCATGGTACTTAACAACAATTAGATTAATGAAGCTTAGAAATGAAAACTTGATGTGTGTTTGTTTGTTGGTTTGTTTTTTGTCCCTTTTCCCTTCCCGGTTTTCCTGATGCCTCTTTGCTAACACTGGTTTTATCATTTTTTAGATGTGGAAGTTATAGACTATGAATGGATTTCTCTTTGTTTACATGGCGTCCTTATGGAGTAGCAGGGTCTGTGCTTTAAGTATCTCCTAACAGTCCAAAGTTTAACCCAATAGACACATTCATGTATTAACAAATGCTTTCCTCAAAATGCCATTAGGAAGCACTGTTCTGTCGTGCATGCACTATACTAACACAACAAGAGTTAAATGACTCCTCACTTTAAATCGCATCCTAGATAAGGAATTAACTGGTTCCAGTTAAAGTGAATTCCAGTAAGTGGATGCACGAGCTTTCTTAATAGTCTAATGCTACATAGAAATATCACTGCCTGTAGTTTATGTAAATATGGTAATGTTAAACTGAGCATGACTTTGGTTTCTTGTTTGGGGCTGAAATGTAAATAGAGGTGTTAAGTAATGGATGAGCCAAATATTTTTTACAATGTAGTCATGTACTTTCATTTGACTGTCGATCCAGTGTTGTTCTGTATTCTAGAAGTTCACTTTTAAATAGTGAGAACAATAGCTATGAAGATGAGGAGCTGCTGAGATGTTATTAGATCACCTATCCAGACTCAGTCTTTGGCCTGCATTGTCCTCATCTGTTAAACATTCCACCTGAGAAATGGCTTTGCTTTTCCTAGTCTAATCCTTTCCTCTAAGCCTAAGAACTCATTGTAAGTTAGGATGGAAGGGCTTCCTGTACAAGCTTCAAGCACACAAAGATATTTCACCAAGTAAGTACAGACTGGAAAACTGAAGTAAGATGTACTTTCAACCTACAATTCATCCTAAAAAATCAACTAAAAAGTCATCCGATTTTAGTTAGCCTAGCATCTACATTTAGTCATAAAAGTGTTCACTTCTGTTTTGAAGATCAGTTGGTATTAATGAGCATGAATCAAATACTTTTCAGAATTTAAAAAAGTTGTTTTATTTTTCAGCAAAGATGTCAAGAAAGTTAAGCTTGCCTACTGATCTAAAGCCTGATTTAGGTAAGTAAATTAAGTAAAGAAACAGAAATCCACAGGAATTACATTCCCTATGGTAAAGAAATCAGAAATTTAAAATGGCTACATGCTAGATTGTCACTGAAAATCAAGTTTTCAAATGACTAAGATGTTGAAGTATTAAACAGCTTTTGCAGTAGCCTTTAGCATGCCTTCTGTAAATTATAAATGACCATTGTAATTTAAAGTAAACCAAAGTAATATATTCCTCTAGCCTGCTCATAATTTATGTCTAAATTAAAATTGGTGGGATTTCAGATCTGAACGCTATCATATATAGACTTGATTTTATTTGAATTAAAATGAATTACTGCTTTTCCACATTGGAATGCATCTCCCATACCAAGAATCATCATTACTGACATTTTGCTTTTAACTCTTGGAAATAATTGCTTCTACCAGAGCACATCCTTTGACACTCATCCGTTCTGAGAACAGCCATTGTAGTTGTATGTTCCGTTTGCTTATGTTCAGACCAAAAGCAGCCCCTTGATAGCCTAGCAGGATAGGGATAGATGACACTTCAAAAAAGATAAAAATAAAATGTAATATATATAAAGCAGGGTTAAAAAAAAACAAAGCAAAAAATAATGTCTGTTTCAAGAATTTCTGTTGCCTTTAGACAAAAAGTATGGCCATTTAAAGTGTTTCACCCTTTAAATATAAGCTAGAGGTTCAAATACCTAGAGGTTCCTCTTGCATTTGCTCACTTTCCCATCACTTGTTTCCCACATTCCTTGACTCTCTTTTATGAGCTAGCACCAACACAGGTAAACACTGTGTTACCGTCTGTGTTATAATTTTGTCTAGTATACAATTAAGAAGAAAAAAGACTCTTGTGACTCGGAGTAAGAAGTTCCCTTCATAGCCTAGGAAAAACAAGTTAGTATAACCCAGCAGTACCACTGATGTAAGGTAATAACAGTTAAACCAAGAGTGTAAAATAGCGTATGTTTTTAAAAAAGCCATAGTTCACATCATTATAAAAGAGGCATACTTTGAACAAAAACATTTCTGAGACTCACACTTTGTCATTTTCCTACACAGTAGGACCCATCCTTTCATCAGACTCATAAAGTGGCCCATACTTTCAGTAACAAAGCAAAGTTGTTATTGAAATCACATTACTCAGATTATATCTTTTAGCATCTTAAAAATCTGAGAAAGCCCTTGTAGAAGTACTTAACTAGAAAAAATGTAATCAATTATTTTTAATAATCAGATTTACGAATACTATAATTTAATCAAAGTTTTAGCCTGCATTCTTTCACGATCATCTTGATTCTGTTGATGGTTTAGATTGAGCTCATATATATTATTGCACTAATAGGAGCTCTGGTAGCGTAGTGGTTACAAATTGGGCTGTGAACCTCCAGGTCAGCAGTTTGAAACTACCAGCTGCTCCGCGGGAGAAAGATGAGGCTTTCTGGTCCTATAAAGATTTGCAGCCTCGGAAACCCTGTACAGGGTTGCTATGAGTCGGAACCAACTCCACAGCACATAACAACAACAACAACAACAATAGATTTACTGGTGTAGCTCTGTGGGTTTATGCGCCAGACTGTAAAGCTGTTTGAACTACAAGGTTGGAGGTTCAAACTCACCAGCTGCTCCTTGGAAACACTATGCAGGGTTGCTACGGGTCGGAATCAACTCAATAGCACATAACACCAACAACATTGGCAAGTAGAAGCCGTGGTGTAGTGCTGTAGGATAAGCACTGGACCACAGGTCGCTTTGAACCACGAGGTTAGCATTTCAAATCTACCAGCCATTCCTTGGAAAACCTAGGGTCCTGTGAGTCGGAACCAACTAGATGCACTTCACAATAATAACAGTGACAACTGTCAGCAACGGTAAAGCCATTTATAATTTTGACTTACGTTGTTGAGTGCAGTGGAGTCATCTCTGACTCACTGACCCTGTATAGGGTTTCTGAGGAGCAGCTGGTGGGTTTGAACTGCTGACCTTGACTTAACATTGTTGAGTGCCGTGGAGTCATCGCTGACTCACTGACCCTATATAGGGTTTCTGAGGAGCAGCTGGTGGGTTTGAACTGCTGACTTTGTGTTTAGCAATGCTTATCCTGCAGCGCCACAGCAGGACTCTTGGATGTAGACCTTGAAGTCATCTGCATGGCGCCCGAGTGATTGTCCTACAGGTAGCTGGGATGGTTTTTTATAAAGATTCTGATTTTTCTTGAATCTTGGCTGCTAACTGGTCAGGAAGTTGACTTAGGAGGCCAGGAGGGGCAGAATAGCTAAATGGATAGATTCCCAGAGTTTGCTAAAACTGTTGAACTGTCCCGAGTTCTGAAGTTTATATGACTAGAATTTCCGTTTGCTTTTAGGGAAACTGCAGCACCACACCTTCACAATAGCTTCACCCCCACAGACTCTATGGCCCGTGAGCTAGAGCTAGGAGATAAAGCTTCAAACAGGCCTCTGCCTTCATAAATGTCTCTTCTTGTGAACTAATTTTTAATCTTCAGAAAATTCATCTATTGGTATTATGTTTTAATTTGGGAATATGGAATTTGGTAGCATAAGATCCCTGAGAAGGAAAGGACATACATACATATATATGTGTATATTGTTGTTGTTGTTAAGTGCCGTCGAGTCGGTTCCGACCCATAGCGACCCTGTACAGGGTTTCCGAGGGTGTAAATCCTTACGGGAGTAGAAAGCCTC